ACACACACACAAGCACAGAGGGTGACAGGGGTGGTGGTGGTGGTGGAGAGAAACGAGATCGCAGCAATAAAATCATCGGGGATATATATGGATGTGTGCCAAAGAGCGACGAAACAGGTGGGTGAAACGTACACATAAAGAGTATATAGTGGCTCGGAAGCGGCAGCGGGCGAGCGCGAGCGAGCAAAAAATGCAAATTTGCCGCGCGCGCGCCACGAGCTTTCATTGCCATGACTTTTACGCGCGCCGCGTCTGGCCGACAACGGCCCGCCCGCGTTACTGTACCAACGCTATATATATAAAATACGGCGCGTGTAGCAGCAGCAGCAGCAGCAGCAGCGGCTCCAACAAGTTGTCCAGAAGACAATTAAATCCCACCTGTTTCATCGTGCGTGGCGTCACACACGCACACGTACGTTTAAGTATACAAACAATGGGCAAATATATACGAAAAACACCATATGATGAGTATGTATAATAATGCGAAGAAAATTGATCGGGGGTATAAAAAAGGGGCTTTGATGACAAGACAATTAATAAACGAGGGTCGAGGGGTTAAATAATTGAGGGGATGAGGATCTCGATCCTTACTCATCTGCACGTCTGCGGAGGACTTTTGCTCTCGTCGAACTCGACAACGACATCGGTCGCGACGTCGACTTTTGTCGTCGTTGGCACGGGCGCAGCCGTCAACGTCGTCCCGTCATCGTCGATATTTGCCAGCGCCGGTGCTCTCCACCAGTACTCTCGCATATGATAGAGCGTTAAGAAGAACAGCTTGACTCTGATGTGCGATGACGGCTCGCGAAGATTGGATAATTCAATTCAAAATCGAGCGAGTAGTTCACAATTGCACGCGCACGCACACTCTTTTATATCATATACCGACGAAAAAAAACGTGTCGTTCTCGAAAGCTCAGCCGTCTGCGCGCACGCGATATTATTATACGGATCTATACGTACGCGACTGCTCGAGACGCGCGCGGAATCGACACTGAGAGCCGAGCGAGCGAGCAGAGAGACTCCACTACTGACTGACTGAGCGCGAGTCGAGTGGAGTCGCGAGTATAGAGAGAGAGAGAGAGCGAGCTTTCGGGAGCAAACCATGCGCGCAAGCTGCGCGCGCGCACAACAGGCAGCAGCAGCAGCAGCAGCGGTGGCACCCACCGGCTCGCTCGACTCCGCAGGACGCGTATAAAGAGGTGGGACGTATACAAGTTGGTTTATGATTTTCGATTTGCTACGTGCTACTACTATATATACACACACACACACACAGACGAAAGCGAGCGCGCGAGAGAAAGAGCCGAGTAAGAAATGAATTTATAATGCCGAGCGTTATATTTGCGCGCGACGCTGTACGACGTCTAATTACCAGAGAGAGCTCGAGCTTGCGAGCTTGCGAGCTGCTCACAAACACACTGTTGCCTACTGTTTGCCGTTTGTACGTGTGTGTGTGTGTGTGTGCTTACAGCGGGAGGTATACATCTACGAAGGAGAGCTTGCAGTGGTAGTAAATATAGCGCAAAAGTCATTTACGCAGCGTCGCCGATTGTCTCGCGTTTATATAAGGTGTACACGAGCGCGACGGACTCGGGGACAACGAGTAAATATACGCGACGCTAGAAAGAGAGAGAGTTAATTACCTGCGTCGAGCTTTTTCGATACCACTATACCGCGCCGTAGCCGCAAAATTAACCTAGGCAGCTTGCGCGCGCTATATACCGTGTAAAACACAAGATTCTCTCCACCTAATTATACGCGCGCCGACGTCGTTATACCTGTGATTATTTGTTCGTAAGTGTAAAAAAGCAATTTTACACGAGATATAAGTTTATCCAAACGATTTGGCGCATGCATAATAACGGCCTTTGAGAGAGCGCGAGAGCTTGCGAAAGAATATATTATAACATTTTCATATACACATTTTATAACGGGTCGAGTCGGGTACTTCTTTTTATTTTTTTAATTCGAGTGTACGTGTGTGTGTTATTTCTCGCTGCCACTCCATCATGCATGCGCGCCCGAGCTTTAGACGTACGAAATATATAAAGTTTTTTCCTTCTGCCTGGCGAGCGAGCACGCACGCGGGCCGAGTTCTATCCAATTAAAAGCCGCACGCGCGCTCGCTAGCGACCTTTTTTTCGCCAGCCCCCCCCCTTCTCCTCCGAGTTCGTTTCCTCTGCACTGCCCAATTTCACGTTCTCTTTTCCGCTCGGTACCTTTTTCCTCTCTCTCTCTCTCTCTCTCTCTCCTTTTGGGTGTGTGTGTGTGAGTGCGAGCGTAAAAATAGTCACATATAACATACACGAACGCGTACATGTATACATTGTGTGCAACTTTTTTTTCCGTTCATTAAGGATGGAAAGAACAATGAAAAGCACGTGCAGCAGCAGCAGCAGCGAAAACGAGGACCAAGTTTGCGCGATGCGAAGGTCGTGTGCTGCTGCAGTGAGCATCATTTGTGCACGCTCGAGTACACGCCTTTAGCGTCTCCCTTTCCCTCTCTCTCTATCTATCCTCATCCACCCCAGCAACAAAGCACACTATGTAGCTCAACACCGCTTTGAGTCATATAATATAATAATTTTTCATTATGTGCTTTCAAATTTTTGCCGACTACATTTGTGCGTATACAAGTACATCGCTCGAAGCTCGAAGCGCAACGGTTCCGGACCGATGCGTTTACTACTGCAACTACACTGCAGTTCTCTCACGCGCAGACATGCAGGCAGACACACACACCTGCGCCTGCGACTTTGTCACGAACGCATAAGGGAAGTTGAGCAAAAATGAATTCCCACGCAATCAAATTTTGGAGTTCACGAGATTATTACGAGAGTGCACGTAATGCAATGAGCAAAAAGACGAGGGAGAGAGAGAGAGAGAGACAGCGACCGAGTTATTACACATTTATAATTATATATGAGGCTTGACTTTGATCGAATCGTAACGATTAGCTTATATATAGCAGTAGTAGTAGGAGCAGCAGAGAAGAGGAAAACGTTAACGAGGCGCTGACTGGGACACGCGAAACTCGCAGCTTACTTTATAATACATTGCCGAACGTCGAGTCGTCGTCGTCGACGATAGAGAACTAGTCGACTCTCTCTCTCTCAGTTCTATATACGTATGCCATAAGGATCTAATTATACGCTCCCAGGGTAGCTATTTGTCTTTCAATTTGTTCCCATCCTCTCCCACGTGAAAATTCAAAGTCTGACAGAGCAGAGCCCAAAGCAGAGCGAGAGAGACATATAGAGAGAAAGAGAATCCCTCGAGCGCAGTCTATGCGCGCCCAAAGCAGCCAACTTCTATAATCATGTTTTCGGGGGGGGGGGGGNGGGGGGGGGGGGGGGGGGGGATAATGAGCCTCAATGACGGCTGACTGTTATGTGTATTTCTGCGTGAGCGTGTGTCGTGAAATTCGCGAAATGAGCAACGCTGCATCGAATTTTACACGAGTATTACGTAATCGCAATGTAAAATAACATTGATACGTTCTAAGCATTTTTTTCGTATGAAAAAAAAAATTTTCCTGAGCCAATTCTAATCAAGAACGAAAATTCACTTGGAAATAATACCGAATGTATGGAGCTCGAAGATTGAACTTTGTTTACATGCCGAATAACCGTATACACGAGTCAGAGCCATTGAGAGAGTATGACTTAGGTTGCTGATTATTCCCGCTACGAGGCGATGGTCCAATTCGCGCAAGAAGGAACTGTATGTTACTGGCATTTAATCACAATTGTTTTCCTGACTCCACCAAAATGAGCAACAGTCGCTGCGTAACGATAATCAAAATGAAAATAATTAATTTACCTCGAAATGAATTAATCGACGTCTGGACCATCCTAGCCAAGATGCTCAGATGATTATTCGACTTTTACCAATCTCAGTCGAAAGGCCAAAGAGGGTCAATTTTCTGTATTTTCATTATTTACAAGTCGTTGTCTGCCAAAGAAACGTATCGAAACGTTCATTACATTCTCACCAATGATCTCGCAAAATGAATCATTTCCAAAAACAGATCCCCAGACTCTTATACACCTATATCCTACACGCGTATTACGATAGGCCCCCTGGAAAATCAGGCGTAATAATCACCTTTAGATAGGATCGTCGTGCGTATAGGCACCGAGAGAAGCTCGATAATGTCAGCGCCGAACGATGAAAATCAGTCAAGCGCATCGAGCTATGTGCACTACATATATAATATACGCGACAAACGTGTTCGTCGGCACGAAGCTCTCTTGTCTCGATACATACGTGCATGCATTATATTATACATTATGTACTCCGCAACATGCGCATCGCGATGCATAAGCGTCTTATAACTAATGTTATAACGCGCGTAAGCTGCGCACGCGCGCGGAGGATGTAAATTGATTTTAATCGCCGCGTACAGGCGGATAATATATAATAACGTGCAACGCAACGTAGATATTGAAAATAATGTATACCATTCCTCTTTCTCTATATACTGCGATTCTCGGTCGATCGATCTCTCTCGCGTGTGCACGGCGAGCAAAAATCACGCGAGTTCGAATTACCCTTTTTCGAACGTAAAAAAAAAAACCAAGTAAGGTTCGACGATTACCCAGCTCAGTTGCCAGCGCGCGCGTGAGCGTGAGCGTAATATGCGTAAACGTGTGCTGCACGGCATACATATAACTGGGCGGCAGGGCGCTCGTACGCCGATTTGCACACAATTTGCAAATGTGGATCGTTATGTACTGCTATCCGGGTTATGCGCGCGCGTGTGTATGTGCGTTATAACGAGGCGCGGGCGAAAGAGAGAAAATTGTTACGATTTCTTTTTTTTTTCTGCTTTCCTCGTATCGATTCGTGTATGCGAGAAAATGGCATGTATATACGCACACGCGTATCGTTCGTATGTACATGAGATGCGTGCACCTGTATACGTGTGATTGGGTATATGAATCGCGCGGAGGATGACTGCGGTGTATCGTGTAAGAAAGAGTTTGCGAACTTACGTTGGATTCGCGTGGAATGTGCATCATCGGTTCGATGATCAAGGGTTTTTGTTGGGCTATTGTTGTTGTTGTTGATGAACTCACCTGCGAACAGAGTAGAGAAAGAAAGACATTAGTTATTTCGGAAAACAAAGTTAAAGATTCTTATATTTACGTATCGTTATATTATTTGTATTATTATTACTGACGCATCGAAAGGTATATCCGCAGTCGTACATAAAACAAAACGGGGATGAAGGTGGATGAAAAAAAAAGGAAGAAGCTCTCTCTCCCCGTTATATTCGTCTCGAGAGAGGAAAGCGAGATATATGTACAGATAGAGTAAAATAACAGTCGCGTTAGCATCAGGTATGCATGCACCACTTTGTTTTCACAACCCCAGCTGTATATGTATATAATAATACACGCTACATTTGCGCGTACCTGTGTGCATGTGTGGCAAAGCTACAACAGCAGTAGCTCTCTGTATATGGCATGGCAACGTGTCAAAAGTGTATATATACCTCGTTTTGTACGCTACTACATACCCCGTATTTGTGCCGCATCTATACTACGTACAACGGGTACATATTATATATAGAGACCTGCGCACGATATCACATACACACTCTCGCGCGCGCGAGGGGATATGAAGAAATGCCCGTGCGGTATTATTTGCCTGTCGCGTCTCTCTGTCTTTCACGTGTGTGCAATGCACCCACCCACTTTCCCTTGTGCGTTTGATACAGCCCGAGCCGCCGCGCAAAGGTGCACTTTGTCGATATACATTACCCGTGAGCTCGCTCGCTCGTTCGCTCGCGTGCTTATATGTAGGTATAGCGTAGCAGCGTATAGGTACCGGGGGGTGTGCGCGCCGGAATATCGAGTTTCTCAATGAATACGGGAAATACGCGCGCAGGCAAATAACTACACCTATGAGCCGAGGCGCGCGCTGACACGAGAGCTTACCTATACCTGCCTATACCTACGCGTGTTTTATTTATTTTTTCATCGACGTACGTTCGAGCTCCGTATAGATAAGCAAAAACGCGCGGCAGCAGCAGCAGCAGAAGCAGCTCATTGTTATACTCGAAGCAGGCTTAAGCGCTCGCGGGTGTAAATTTCAACCCTACGTATGTGTGTGTGTGTGTGTCGAAAGCTCAACACACGCGATACATTTACCTTTTACAAATTGGACTTTTGCAGGGGCGCTCGCTCTTGCCCGTGCTGTATGCTTTTAATATAGAGAAGAGAAGTACACATGTATATAATATATATTAAATGAGTTCTATATATAGGGCGCTGAAAAACGATGAAGCTCGGCGCCAAAGAGCGGGTGTAGGTATATAGGTATATAGCGCGGCGGAAAATTGTCCAAGTACCATCAAAATTTAATTAAAGCCCCTCTCGCCCGCCAAAGAAGATGAAGGAGAAACGCGAGCTTACAGTATGTAGCGACATACGTAGCATAGGCATTATATAATATATAACACGTGTAACTATACGTGGCAAGGATAGAGTGAGATAGAGAGTAAGAGAGAGAGAAGTTCATTGTCGCGCACTACCACTCGACGCGCTTACATATATATAGGAAAGCTCGATGGGTGGGTGGGGGGCGCGAGCTTAAGTAGTTCGTCGCGCGACGACGACGACGACGACGACGCGCTAAAGAGGGTAAAGGGTTCGTGAATATTGCAACGCTTTACATTGCATTATATATGTCTTCCAGCAGAATCAGCAGCGAGTACAGCGTGTGACTCGACATGTATAGTTACAGTGGCGGAGAAGGTAGAGGAGGAGGACACGAGCATGAGAAATATTCATTAGTCATTTGGTTGAAATGCGTGAGTCGAGAGTCAAAGCAACGACGACGGCAAGGAGAGAGAGATGAAGCTCTCGCACGCGCGATTAAATATGTATGCGTTATATACGACACACACACGAGCATATACTCGTATACAAAGGGCAAAACTAGTTACAAATATGAACACATCACGATTAGTTAGCCGCGACATCCGTAATATTTCCCCCCTTCGTTTAAATGACTGAGCTTTCGCGAGTAATGCAATATAAATACTGCGAACGAACGAACTGTATTAAGCCGCAGCCCCGCGCGCGTGTCGTCGATTATATCCCCCCGATAAATAAACTCTCGGCGTAAGAGCAAAACTCGATGTAAATTGCGCGCTAAATCGCGCTTATTAATGCATATAGTATATCCTCGTATGCATAAGCGCGCGCGAGCTAGAGAGAGAGAGAGAGCGAGAGAGCTTAATTCCCAAAAGGACTCGCGCTCGCGCGCCCTGGTTGGTAGTGGCTCTAGCTCTCTCTCTGATCCCAGTAAGCTCGCTCTATGCTTGTGTGTAATAATAATGTATCGAGCTCTACATAGCTAGGCTTCAGCGCGCCGCAATTGCGTTGCTATAGGTAACCCAACACACACACGTATATAAGCACACGTTGCAGCACGTAACAAGCTTTCGATACGATTTGCCTTTTTTTCTCTCGTTATAATTATTATTATTTTCTTTTTTTTTGTGCTATACATACAAGTGCGTCCTATGCGTCGAGGCGCTGAGATTTTCAATTATAAACGCGCGGGTCGCGGGTGGTAGTGCGGTGTATTGGCATCCCCCCGGGTTTTCCACGCACACTTTAAAAGAGGCACACGGCTACCGGCTTCAACGTCATTCTGCAAACGCGCCACTGCAAACGACGCGTACATTAATAATAATTATTATTATTATTATTATAAAACGTTGCTACTTTTTGTTTTTATTCCTCGACTTAATATTTTGCGCGTGATAATTTCAAAGCGACAAACTCACCCTTCTGTAGTACATAGGCATTTTTTTGTTTCGTCCGTACAACTATAACCAAGCCACCACTGTGTGATATCGTCTAGACTACTGCACTCGCGATCAATACGATATATTATATTATGATAAACAATGTATTTCGAAGCTAAACGTCGCGTCGCGATGTTTGCGCGCGATTCACTTGCGGGGGGTGAATGCGTTCGACTCTCGACGTACAAACGCGGAAAGCTACTAATGCAATTCGCCGACAACGACGACGACGACTACTATACGTCTGCGACGTCAATGAGAGTTGGGTATTTGTTTGTGTGCGTGCGTGTGTTTGGTTGGATACACACCTTGCAGCAGGCTGCATAATGTGTGGCGTGCAGCGCGGGAGGCACCGCCATCCCCCTTATTTCTGTATATGGGAAGCCTCGGGGGTAGTACTCGCTCCTACCCTCTCGCTGCACATGGGGCTTCGCTATACGTGTATATAGTATACGCGTCTGGCACGTCGCGTGTGTTTTAGACATCGTTACATAAAGGTAGCTCGGCGGTAGGTAGTCGTCGTTTCTGCATCGATCTATATACCGAAGCGTATACCATAGCCAAGCGCGACGCGCGCCAGAGCACTATGCAATGGCTTTTAACGCTCGATTATAGCTTATATTCACGTGTTTGTCTCTCTCTCTCTTCTTTTCGTTGCTGCTTCTTCTTTTTCTTCTTCCTTCTTCGTTTTTTCTGCTGCAGCAGCAGCTTTTACGTAATGGTGCGCAAAGTACTGTGTCTATAACGCGCGCACAAAAAAGCAGCAGCAGCAACAGCGCACGAGGCAGTAAAAGCCAATGACGTTTTTGCGCTCGCTCGCCATAAGGCTATATTGGAATTTAACGTTATCACCTTTCCCACCCACGCTTACATTGCTTTCCAAAGTCCGTACATATATATACGCGTGTGTGTATGGGGATAAGTATAAATCCGTGTTTACAGATGGGCGACAATTCGATTCCTGAGTTAAAAAAGCGTCACAACAGCAACAACAGCACACGCATACGTACATAGCATACGCTCGATGCAAGAGAAATCACGATGTATATACGTATTGCGCGTGGAAAAACGCCTATTTACGCTATTGTATTATATCGGTTGCATTATCCGAGAGAGAGATGAGAATCTTTCGCGAGATATTTTCGATTCGCACGGTTAGGCGAATTTTATCATTATATATTATACGCTCGACTGGTAGTATAAAACGAGCGAAGAACGACGACGACGACGACGATGATGATGATGAAGCCGAATGCATTATATTATATTGTATTATGTACGGGCGAAGGGAAAGTTTTAACGTTTATTCCCGCGGCAGAAATCGCGATTGTACATCATCGATTAATACGCGATAAAAGTCGAGTTAAACAATCGATTTCTCTTCTTCTTTTTTTCGCTTTTTTTCTTCGCCATCACTTTTGCGGCTTCGAGTCTCACTCGCTGCTGCTGCTGCTGCTGCAGCGCCAGCCAAGCCCTTTCAATGGAAATGTAGATGTGTATAAGTATAAAACTGCACAGACAGCTGCTTTAACAACTTTTGTGTGCTTTCCGAGAGATTCTCCTCTCTCCGAGGTGAAATTCCCGCGCGGCGGCAGCCGCGCTTCGCGTTTGGGAAAAGGTCAAACATTAGAGTTTACAAGAGCTGTATACACGCGCGCACGGGGCATTCGTCATCTTTTGTGCAACAATAGGCATGTATACTACCAGCAGGTATAAATCTCCTCCGGGCCCGAGCGCGAATCGTCGTCATTTTCACAAGGAAAAAAATAAAGAAGTAAGAAGAAGAAGAAGAAGATGAAGAAAACACAGCGTCGCAGTCTGTGTGTGTCGTCCTTCGCGCTTCGGTACGCAATAAAAACCTTTTGTCGTCGTCGTCGGCAATATAACGTACTCTTTAGTGCGCGTTTATATATACCGCGGGCTATTTCCCACGCGCGCGCGCCGCCCCGAAAAAAGATTCTCTCTCTTTCTGGCTTTTTATACTTTATGCGAGTGAAAGCCAAGCGTTCGAGTGTGCGTGCGGTACCACCGCGCGCGATCGCGTTACATCTTTTTGATCGTTTCCCGATCTCTCGCGCGCGCGTACGTGCTGCAAGACGAGCAAGAGAGAGAAGGCCTGACCCATTATCGTTATCGGACGAATTTTTTTTCTTCCTCTCTCTTTATCGTGTACTTCAGTTGCCGTCGTCGCTCGCGTCGCGTGGATATATATCTCGTCGAGCGCAATTCGGAAAAGCATGCCAATTAAAATTTAAT